CCCTGCGGGCAGGCGGGCGGACTCACCAGGATGCCCCCCAGGAGCAGGCCGGGGCACGCCCCTCAAGGGGCGGGGGAAACCGGAATGTTTCTCCCCAGATTATCTTTTTGAGGCAGGGTCTTGCTCTGTCGCCCAGGCTAGAGTGCAGTGGCACCATCACAGCGCACTATAGCCTGACGACCTCTTGGGCGCAGGGGAGCCTTCCGCCTCAGCCTCATGAGTGACTGGAACTGCAGGCACAGGCTGCCACACCTGGCTAGTTTTTTCTTTTTTAAATAGAGACGAGGTCTCACGATGATGCCTAGGCTGGTCTTGAACTCTTGGGCTCAAGCAATCCTCCTGCCTCTGCCTCCCAAAGTACTGCACCTGGCCAAGGATTTTTTTTTTTTTTTGAGTTGGAGTCTCACTCTGTCACCCAGACTGGAGTGCAGTGGCACGCATGCTCACGGCCACCCCAGCTTCAACCTGGTGGGCTCCAGCGATCCCTCTGCCTCAGCCTCTGCAAGTAGCCAGAACTACAGGTGCACGCTACCGTGCCTGGCTAATTGATTGGCGGGGGGGGTCTCACCATGTTGTCCAGGCTGGTCTTGAACCCCTGGGCTCAGGCAGTCCTCTTGCCTCAGCCTCCCAAAGTGCTGGGATTACAGGCTTGAGCCACTGTGCCCGGCTCCAAGTGTTGTTAAAGATGCTGCAAATGCAGGGGGCCAGGCTGCCTCAGCCTCTGCTTGCTGGATATAAGTCCTTCCATTGCAGACATAAATCCTTCCTTACTGGTGACAGCACCTGCTATGGGCCCAGAGAAGGCACTAGCAGGCGCCAGCAGAATCTGGGAACAGATTTTACTTCCTTCTCAAGTTTACTCATTTTTTAAAAGACTGGAACTGCTCTTTCCTTTGTCTTGTCACTATGTAGGATTTCTGGCTCTTTGTTGAAATACTGTTTAAGCAAAGCCTCTAAGCCACTGCCTGAAGAGAGATATACTTTTTTGTTAATTTGTTTTTGGATCAGGGTCTCACTCTGTCACCCAGGCTGGAGTGCAGTGGCACCATCACAGCTCACCGCAGCCTCAAACTCCTGGGCTCAAGCTATCCTCCTGCCTCAGCCTCCTGAGTAGCTGGGACTACAGGCGTACACCACCATGCCTGCCTAATTTTTGTGGTTTGTTTGTTTGTTGTTGTTTTGTCTTTTTAGGCTCACTCTGACACTTAGGCTGGAATGCAATGGCACAATCATGGCTACCAATGCCTCGATCTGCTGGGCTCAGGCAGTCCTTCCATCTCAGCCTCCTGAGTAGCTGGGACTGTAGGCTCATGCCACCATGCCCTGCTAATTTTTAAATTTATTGCAGAGACAAGGTCTCGCCTTGTTGCCCAGGCTCGTCTCAAGTTCCTGGGCTCAGGCAATCCTTTCGCCTCTGCCTCACAAAGTGCTGGGATTGTAGACGTGAGCTGCCACGCCCAGCTTAATGTTTGTATTTTTTGTAGAGACGAGGTCTTGTTATGTTGCCCTAAGGTGTGTACACTCATGTCCCAAACATCTCTTTTCAAGAGACACAGGACTGGCCCTGGACCACACAGTGGGTTCCCAGAAGACATTCGGCCTGGGTTGGCCTGGGGCAGCCTATAGTGGAGGTGCCAAAGAGGGGCCTTGAGCTCCTGGCAGCTTAAAAGGGTCTCTACAAAAAATACAAACATTAGCCTGGGCATAACTAATTGTTTGATTGTAGAGAGCGGGGAGAAAGCTTCAGGGCAGCATAGCAACATGGCTGGGTAGTAGGGAGGGAGAATTAGGGCATACCCAGGGCTAAGGGCAACTCTAGGGAGGGGAGGGAGGGCCCCAGACAGGCAGTACTTGTTATAGAGTACGATGTCTGGCCGCCACACAAGACTGCTGGGGATGCGGATGGTATCCAGGCCACCGTAGGCATTGGGGTCCCACCGTAGGTAGGCATCTGTCCACTCTTGCCGGATCCACAGGTATAGGGTCAGCACTTGGTTCCGCTCGTCCTAGTGGGGGGCAGGGAGTGAGCACAGATGCAGACACGAGTATATGCATGCCCTCCCTGCTTGTGTACACTCACCTACAGGGCTCTAGTCACCACCCACAAGCCAACTTGCCCATCTGGTCCAGTTCCCTCCTAAGCCTGACCTTGCTATGTGACCTTGGTGGGTTCTTATCTTTCCTGGGCCTCAGTTTCCTCAGCAATTGTATGGGGCGATAGTCCCTGCTTAGTAGGGATTCAGTAAATTCAAGAGTGCAAAGCGCTGGGGTCATGGTGGGCACCCAATGGTTAGTACCCAGCAGTAACTGTTGTCCTTGTTAAGATTAACATTTTGGCCGGGCGCGGCGACTCAAGCCTGTAATCCCAGCACTTTGGGAGGCTAAAGCGAGAGGATTGTCTGAGCACATGAGTTCCAGACCAGCCTGGACAACTTGGTAATACCTTGTTTCTACAATAAATCAAAAAATTAGCTAGGCGTGGTAGCGTGTGCCTGTAGTTCCAGCTACTTGGAAGGTGGAGGTGGAAGGATTGCCAGAGCCCAGCAGGTCAACACTGGGGTGGCCGTGAGTGTGCCATTGCACTCCAGCCTGGGTGACAGAGTGAGACTCCAACTCAAAAAAAA